ATTCAATTTTTTGCCAAATTTTGCCAATTTTAATGATGTAACCCCTTATAAAATTTTCAATTTTCGGAAAAATGTCAAAATATTATTTTCGACCGGACATGGCTAGAACGACAGGGCTGTTGATGCTGATCAAGAATATAATGGTTTATAGGGTCGGAAATGACTCCTTCACTGTGTTTTAATCTTCTGACTGAAGCTATAATCTGCAAAAAGGTATAAAACAGACAATTTCTTAAATAATCTGAGTTTTCCAAACATCATAATTAAGCCAAAATAGCATTAATTTTGATTCGGAAAGCTTTTCTGTGCAAGTTTTTATAGCACTAACAAATCTGCATACTGCGTTTGTTGATGCTGTTATAATTTTCAGACTAAAATTATAAAAACCCGAAACAAGGTATAAAAACAGGCAATTTTTCCCAAAAATCATAGTTTAAAAAAACTCATAACTAAGCCAAAAAATCATTCATTTTAATTCGGAAAGCTGTTCTATGCTAGTTTTTAGTAGATTAACAAAGCTGCATACTCAGTTTTCAAATTTAAAAAATTCAATTTTTTGCCAAATTTTGCCAATTTTAATGATGTAACCCCTTATAAAATTTTCAATTTTCGGAAAAATGTCAAAAAATTATTTATTGACCGGACATGGCTAGAACGACAGGGCTGTTGATGCTGATCAAGAATATATATGGTTTATAGGGTCGGAAATGACTCCTTCACTGTGTTTTAATCTTCTGACTGAAGCTATAATCTGCAAAAAGGTATAAAAACAGACAATTTTCTTAAATAATCTGAGTTTTCCAAACATCATAATTAAGCCAAAATAGCATTAATTTTGATTCGGAAAGCTTTTCTGTGCAAGTTTTTATAGCACTAACAAATCTGCATACTGCGTTTGTTGATGCTGTTATAATTTTCAGACTAAAATTATAAAAACCCGAAACAAGGTATAAAAACAGGCAATTTTTCCCAAAAATCATAGTTTAAAAAAACTCATAACTAAGCCAAAAATCATTCATTTTAATTCGGAAAGCTGTTCTATGCTAGTTTTAGTAGATTAACAAAGCTGCATACTCAGTTTTCAAATTTAAAAAATTCAATTTTTTGCCAAATTTTGCCAATTTTAATGATGTAACCCCTTATAAAATTTTCAATTTTCGGAAAAATGTCAAAAAATTATTTATTGACCGGACATGGCTAGAACGACAGGGCTGTTGATGCTGATCAAGAATATATATGGTTTATAGGGTCGGAAATGACTCCTTCACTGTGTTTTAATCTTCTGACTGAAGCTATAATCTGCAAAAAGGTATAAAACAGACAATTTTCTTAAATAATCTGAGTTTTCCAAACATCATAATTAAGCCAAAATAGCACTAATGTTTATTCGGAAAGCTTTTCTGTGCAAGTTTTTATAGCACTAACAAATCTGCATACTGCGTTTGTTGATGCTGTTATAATTTTCTGATTAAAATTATAAAACCCGCAACAAGGTATAAAAACAGGCAATTTTTCCCAAAAATCATAGTTTAAAAAAACTCATAACTAAGCCAAAAAATCATTAATTTTAATTCGGAAAGCTGTTCTAAGCTAGTTTTTAGTAGATTAACAAAGCTGCATACTCAGTTTTCAAATTTAAAAGGTTCAATTTTTTGCCAAATTTTGCCAATTTTAATGATGTAACCCCTTATAAAATTTTCAATTTTCGGAAAAAATGTCAAAAAATTATTTATTGACCGGACATGGCTAGAACGACAGGGCTGTTGATGCTGATCAAGAATATATATGGTTTATAGGGTCGGAAATGACTCCTTCACTGTGTTTTAATCTTCTGACTGAAGCTATACTCTCCAAAAAGGTATAAAACAGACAATTTTCTTAAATAATCTGAGTTTTCCAAACATCATAATTAAGCCAAAATAGCATTAATTTTGATTCGGAAAGCTTTTCTGTGCAAGTTTTTATAGCACTAACAAATCTGCATACTGCGTTTGTTGATGCTGTTATAATTTTCAGACTAAAATTATAAAAACCCGAAACAAGGTATAAAAACAGGCAATTTTTCCCAAAAATCATAGTTTAAAAAAACTCATAACTAAGCCAAAAAATCATTCATTTTAATTCGGAAAGCTGTTCTATGCTAGTTTTTAGTAGATTAACAAAGCTGCATACTCAGTTTTCAAATTTAAAAAATTCAATTTTTTGCCAAATTTTGCCAATTTTAATGATGTAACCCCTTATAAAATTTTCAATTTTCGGAAAAATGTCAAAAAATTATTTATTGACCGGACATGGCTAGAACGACAGGGCTGTTGATGCTGATCAAGAATATATATGGTTTATAGGGTCGGAAATGACTCCTTCACTGTGTTTTAATCTTCTGACTGAAGCTATAATCTGCAAAAAGGTATAAAAACAGACAATTTTCTTAAATAATCTGAGTTTTCCAAACATCATAATTAAGCCAAAATAGCACTAATGTTTATTCGGAAAGCTTTTCTGTGCAAGTTTTTATAGCACTAACAAATCTGCATACTGCGTTTGTTGATGCTGTTATAATTTTCTGATTAAAATTATAAAAACCCGCAACAAGGTATAAAAACAGGCAATTTTTCCCAAAAATCATAGTTTAAAAAAACTCATAACTAAGCCAAAAAATCATTAATTTTAATTCGGAAAGCTGTTCTAAGCTAGTTTTTAGTAGATTAACAAATCTGCATACTCAGTTTTCAAATTTAAAAGATTCAATTTTTTGCCAAATTTTGCCAATTTTAATGATGTAACCCCTTATAAAATTTTCAATTTTCGGAAAAATGTCAAAAATTTATTTTTCGACCGGACATGGCTAGAACGACAGGGCTGTTGATGCTGATCAAGAATATAAATGGTTTATAGGGTCGGAAATGACTCCTTCACTGTGTTTTAATCTTCTGACTGAAGCTATAATCTGCAAAAAGGTATAAAAACAGACAATTTTCTTAAATAATCTGAGTTTTCCAAACATCATAATTAAGCCAAAATAGCACTAATGTTTATTCGGAAAGCTTTTCTGTGCAAGTTTTTATAGCACTAACAAATCTGCATACTGCGTTTGTTGATGCTGTTATAATTTTCTGATTAAAATTATAAAAACCCGCAACAAGGTATAAAAACAGGCAATTTTTCCCAAAAATCATAGTTTAAAAAAACTCATAACTAAGCCAAAAAATCATTAATTTTAATTCGGAAAGCTGTTCTTTGCTAGTTTTTAGTAGATTAACAAAGCTGCATACTCAGTTTTCAAATTTAAAAAATTCAATTTTTTGCCAAATTTTGCCAATTTTAATGATGTAACCCCTTATAAAATTTTCAATTTTCGGAAAAATGTCAAAAAATTATTTATTGACCGGACATGGCTAGAACGACAGGGCTGTTGATGCTGATCAAGAATATATATGGTTTATAGGGTCGGAAATGACTCCTTCACTGTGTTTTAATCTTCTGACTGAAGCTATACTCTCCAAAAAGGTATAAAACAGACAATTTTCTTAAATAATCTGAGTTTTCCAAACATCATAATTAAGCCAAAATAGCATTAATTTTGATTCGGAAAGCTTTTCTGTGCAAGTTTTTATAGCACTAACAAATCTGCATACTGCGTTTGTTGATGCTGTTATAATTTTCAGACTAAAATTATAAAAACCCGAAACAAGGTATAAAAACAGGCAATTTTTCCCAAAAATCATAGTTTAAAAAAACTCATAACTAAGCCAAAAAATCATTCATTTTAATTCGGAAAGCTGTTCTATGCTAGTTTTTAGTAGATTAACAAAGCTGCATACTCAGTTTTCAAATTTAAAAAATTCAATTTTTTGCCAAATTTTGCCAATTTTAATGATGTAACCCCTTATAAAATTTTCAATTTTCGGAAAAATGTCAAAAATTATTTATTGACCGGACATGGCTAGAACGACAGGGCTGTTGATGCGGATCAAGAATATATATGGTTTATAGGGTCGGAAATGACTCCTTCACTGTGTTTTAATCTTCTGACTGAAGCTATACTCTGCAAAAAGGTATAAAAACAGACAATTTTCTTAAATAATCTGAGTTTTCCAAACATCATAATTAAGCCAAAATAGCACTAATGTTTATTCGGAAAGCTTTTCTGTGCAAGTTTTTATAGCACTAACAAATCTGCATACTGCGTTTGTTGATGCTGTTATAATTTTCTGATTAAAATTATAAAAACCCGCAACAAGGTATAAAAACAGGCAATTTTTCCCAAAAATCATAGTTTAAAAAATCTTATAACTAAGCCAAAAAATCATTAATTTTAATTCTGAAAGCTGTTCTATGCTAGTTTTTAGTAGATTAACAAAGCTGCATACTCAGTTTTCAAATTAAAAAATTCAATTTTTTGCCAATTTTAATGATGTAAAAAGAATTTAAAAAATGTCGTACATTACGAATTCTAATCATAGCAGAGCAAGGTTTCGATCCTCGGACCTCTGGGTTATGGGCCCAGCACGCTTCCACTGCGCCACTCTGCTTGCTGTGAGTGCTGTGTCTAATGGTGTCTTGATCATTCAGCGTTCAAAAGTAACAGAGTTACTTAAATTTCTGAACTGCTTGCAAGCAGTTGACATCAAAATCATGATTTCACAACCGCTGAAGTGCTGTAATGTTTAAGCAGCTTTTGACACCTTCTCGACAACAAGCAGAGTGGCGCAGTGGAAGCGTGCTGGGCCCATAACCCAGAGGTCCGAGGATCGAAACCTTGCTCTGCTATGAAGTACTTTCGCGGTGGGCGATTTATTTTTGTTTACTTTTTTTTCTAATCAATATATACATTTTTATATCCTTTCATCGTATTTCTTAATAGTTGTTATTGTTGTGGAAAAATCAAAACAATACAAAATTCAGATTTTGGGATATCTAACCTACTGCATTGTTTATCTTTATTCAGTTGTTTTAGTATAAAAGTACAAAATATAAGCTAAACTACTAAAGGGGTTTTACTAACAACTAAGGCGAAGAACTGTCCAACGCTCGGATCACGATTTTTCGTGATCAGTAGTCCTCGTCGCAAAAGCATCCGTCCCGCGAATTCTCCACAATCCAGTCCAGGTATTTCGTCACCCGGGTATACACGCCCGGGTAATTGGGCCTGGCACAGCCATTGCCCCAGGACACGATTCCGATCTGCTCGAAGCGCTTGTCGTCGGGTCGAAGGCGCACCAGCGGACCCCCGGAGTCGCCCTGGCAGCTGTCCCGCCCGCCAACTCCCGGATAGCCCGAGCACATCATGTTCTTGGTGATCATCTTTTGGGTGTAGTTCGTCTGGGCCACGCATTCATCGTTGTCCAGCACCGGGACCTCAACCTCCTGCAGCAGGCATGAGGGCTTGCCATCCTCCTTGAGCGTACCCCAGCCGGTGGCAATGGCCTTGGTGCCCACGAAAAGATCCTGACGTTGCTCCACCCTTGGCAGGCATATTGGCCGGATGAAGCTGGTGATCGGCACACGGTCATTCAGACGCAGCAGGGCAATATCGTTGTCAAAGTTGGAGAAACTAAACTTCTGGCTGAAGGCACGCAACACGAACCGCGTCTCCGGGCGTTCCTTGTCATTGCAGCGATCGTGCTCCCCGAAGGTGACCTTGATCATGAACCACATGAAGCCCTTGACGCAATGCGCTGCCGTCAGCACGTAGCGATCATTGATCAGGGTGCCGCCGCAGTAGAACCTATTGAAGTAGCTCAGCCGGGCCATCCAGGGGTATTCACTCACTCCCGTTGTCGTTCCGCCCACAATTCGTGACTCGTCATTCCGTTCGCCGCACCTGAAAGGGAATAAAGGAAGAATTGTAGATATTTATAGGATGTGATTTGAATTTATAATTTATAAGGCTATCCCTACTTAAGAATAGTAATTTACCATAAAATATATGATTATTTACCGGTTAAGAAGAATATATTCATATAACGTTAAATCATATATACTTTCTGTACTGTAGATTAAAAGTTTATAAGCAAAAATAAAGAAAAATAAGCCATCATCCATTGCTTTATGCCACCTCATTAGCAAGTTCATATGGAAATAATAAATGGTATGGGTCAAGGGTGGCCTTTAGCGATCTCTCTCTCTCTCTCTACCGATTGGCAAGTTCAGAGTTCAGCAACCCCGACATAAAGAAAGTGTTGGAAGTGTTTTATGGACGGACATAAAACAAATGAGCGATTTTTGCAGATTTTATGGTTGTCCCACAACGACTTTAACGCTTTACATTAAACAGGTTTTTAATTACCCCCGGACACAACATGCAGTCAACAAAAAAATATTAAAAATTCTTCCACTGGGTCGCAAAGGAAGCGCATCAGGTTCTCTCTGTGCCTGACTCTTCTCTGTGTTTATTTTGGCCACAAAATCAATCGATCCGGCCGCAACAAGTATTTGGGATTCAGATTTTGTGTGTGTTTAATCGTGTCATTGCCCCAAAATGGTGGCCAGGCCGGTAGAGAGGCGTCCCGAAACAAAGAAGCAAAATGTGCGACAGCGACCCACTTAGGAGACGGAGACGGCTTGGCCAAGACCGCCGCCTTGGCCAAAAGTCCAAGACAAAGTCGAAGCCAAAGACAACGGCCGCAACGGCATTCCCCTGCCTCCCGCACACACATTAATATGACATGACGCATTGAGCGTACGCCTTCCACAGTATCTGGCTTGTAAGATATATATACATATATCTCTATAGTTGTATCTGTATCTCCTGAATAAACACACGCACTCTTTGAAAGCCAAACAGAGACTGTTATCAAATCGTATGCAAATCAGATTCTTTTTTTCGTTCTTTCATATGCAAAAAAAGAAAGAAAAACAAATAAGAAAAAAGTAAATATTATATATAGAAATAAAACCGGTTTTAGGCCTTCATTAACAAATCGAAGAATTGTCTGTGACTAAATAAAGTTCCACTAATTTTACGGCTAGATTTTGATGCATAAGGGGAAGTTTTTGGTTATTCCTAAGAAATACAGAACTAATTGGAAATAAATTTATTAAAATTAAATAAAGTCTGACAAGGAAAACAATATACTTTTATAACAATGTTTCTTTGTTTGGATTATTGTGCATAATTAAATAATAATGCTTACTTAAAGATCAAAGGGCTAACGACATCACATAAGTGAACCTCATGTGCTTTTAAGCACCTAGATATTTTCAATTGTTATACTATTTTGATCACAAAGTCTTGAGCTCCTTTGGAACTCCCTTAAGGAACACATTGAATCCATTTGATTTCGATTTTTACTACTGACTCCATAAATACCCGAGGGAACTGGCCTATGTACGAGAGCCAAGTGCCGAAAGCCAAAGATCAATTCCCAATTGGCAATGCAATTTGTTTAATGGCCACACAAGAATGCCTTTCAAGTGCAATTCTTCAGAGAGAACCTGACATTTGGGGTCAGGTGGAGAATTGGTATTTCAAAACGGGTAACAAATGGGCAAAAAGAATGTGGTAAGGAGGCTTTAAATCATTAGCTTTCAAAAGTTTATAATAAATTTAAAAAAAACAGCTTAAAAACTTGATTACAAACTTTATCTTTAATGATTTAAGTTAAAGAGCTGCTCTCATTTTAAAGCCCTAATTAAATAACAGCTTGATTTGTTCACAAATTAAGGAAGTTGTTAGAAACAGAGTGGAAAGATGATTTAGTTTGATAAAAGCCATGGCCAAGTGATTCTTTAGAAAGTTGAAAGTTGATTGACTTAGATATATATGATAATTATAATGTGGTATAGTCATGCTGCCTTAAAATTAAACATAGTATCTTTTGGGATCTTTGAAAAGGAATAGCTAACCGATCTATTGGTTACCTTTCATTTTAAAGAGAGCCTTCCCATTGACAGCTTCCTATAATTAACTTTGAGGAGTGTTAGAACAAATTTCTCTATGGATATATCCCGTCGATGGCGTGCTCTCCTCGCCAGGCACTCGAATCTATCTGTAACTTTAACTGTTTGTGCCATTTGTATGCCGTGACAATGACAACGCCAGAGTGGTTTATCACCTACCCGGCCGTCTAACTGGAAGTTGTCATCATGACCATGACAGCTTTCGTGCATCTCTGGATCTGTGGATCTGTGGATCTCTGCATCTTTAGATCTTTGCATCTGTAGGTATGGGCACACACACATGGCATATGTGGAGAATGTGTCTCTGGGGTATGGGGACTGGGACTGGGACTGGCACTGGGACTCACCTGCAGGAACATGTCGGCGACGTTTGGTTCTGAGCTGCCGGCGAATTATTGCGATTGAAGGCACCGAACCAATTCTTGATCGGATTTTGCCGGAATACAGGTTTGTTGCCATTGCCATCCAAAGTGCTTGAGGAGGAGGAGGAGGATGAGGTGGCAGATGAGGCTGAGGAGGAGGCAGCTCCGATTTTCAGCTTCTTTGGCTGGTGATGGGCTGCACCCAAGGCCTGATATTTGCCCGGAATGGAGGATAACGATGATGTTGTTGATGTCGTCGCCGCTGCTGCTGCTGCCGCTGAGCAGGAAGCAATGGCCAGCACGAGTGGCCAGTGACGTAAGTGGAGCATCATCTTCTCTTCTGGTTATGCAATCCGCTGCATGTAAACTTAATGAGTCTTTGCCACAAGCAGTTCCGTTATCGGAATATATTTCGATATTCTCGCTCGGCTTGTTCTACGTTCTTCCCTGTTGATTCTTCGCTCTTCGGGGGAAGCTTTGCTAGCTAACTCTGGCTCTGGCTTTTCGAAATCTCCGTTCGCACTCCACTTGTTAATTATGTAAATCAAGCACGGTTTCTTTCTGTCTTATTGTTGTTGCACTAATTGAACCACTTCACATGACTGCAAACTGTCAACAAGTCGCGCCCTGATCCCAGCGAATTTCTCGATCTGTTTGTTTGCGATTCTCGAACCTCGAATCCACGAATTCTCAGTCCCTCTGTGATCCGCTCCAAATCGTGGCTATAAGCTAGTTCGCACCGCCGCACACGCGAAAGTCTGCAAGCCGACTGATACGGCGCCGAAGAGCGACGGTGCCAAGAGCTAAAGCCAAAGCCACATGCTTTCAGCCAAAAGCCATTTCCATTGCCAAGGCCTGAACCAAAGCAGCGCTGCTGACGCAGGCGCAGAAGCGAACGCCGACGCAGACGCAGACGCTCGTTGAGCAAAGAAAGTTGCGCATGCGCAGCGCTCTGTGCGTTGGCAGAACAGAACGCAGAGAGCTGGCAGAAGTGACGAAAGCACTGAAAGAAATATATGATATTATATTAATAATAATTAAATATTCTAACAAGATAAATCCTGTAAATACTAAAATATTTAGATGCCTTTTGCGAATCGTTGATATATATTACTGAGATGCTTATGCAAGTCTTGATAACAAAGTATTGAGCAAATAAAGAAGATTAGTTTGGAGTTTTAAAACTTTAAATTTTCTTCACACTTTAACATTTACATTAATTTTTTCCCAAGCTTCTAGAATGGTTATACTTTCCCTCAGTGCAGAGAGTGGGCCAAGTCAGAACGCTGAGGGCAGGCGTATTTTTGTAGACTCCCCAGAGTTCCTAATATGCTAATGTGACAGTTTGCTTTGGCTTGGCTTGTTTCTTTCTTTTTTTGTTGTTGTATTTTTTAGTTACCAATGGAGTGTGTGCGTTGGGGAGTTCTTCTCGATTCTGCCTCTTTTCTTCTGTCGCCGACATCGTCTGTTTAACGTTTGTTTATTATGCTCGCAACGTCAATACACCGTAAAAATTACAATCAATGATTGGGAATTGATTTAGGCAGTTGACACATAGATAATCCGTTTAATCACCGATAAAGAAAACTAACATGGAGAAAATTGATATGGGTGACTAAGCAATGAAGCAAATAACCGTTCTGAGTTGTTTGTTATTATATTTTGTGACAGAAAAATGTATGTTATTATCAACTAATTGATTAATATAAAATATATGTTTAACTTAACTCAAAAAGGCTCTTTAAAATATATTAAAATACAACTGGTTACCTGTATAATTTCTTCATTTAGTGAAGTATTTAAGTAACTAGTTAAACTAACTCTCCTCTCAGTGGAATGCAAACAAATATTTTTCTAATAGCTCAATAGCTTACAAACTGGAAGTGGAAACCAGAGTTCACTCCCAACAGCCAACACAAACATCCTTTAGGATCGGCAAATATTAACTTAAAATGTTAAGTGGGCGAAAGAGAGATTTAAATTATATATTTCTGATCGGAATGATGTGTAAATTTAGGACCACACACACACACACACATTTAAAATCAGTGGTAGGCTCGTGGTATTTCACTTTAGTTTTTCATCATTGCCACCCTTTCATCTTTTCCGACGCCTTTTCACTTGCCCAGTGGAAAGAGAGAGGGAAAACACCGAGTTTTTCGCATTTTCATGTTCATTTGCCGGTGCATGAATTAACAAAAAACCCGAAAGAAAACTAACTACAGAAGCCCAAGTTTATATACCCTTGAATTATATCACAATTTAATCGAGATAAATTTTAAAAAATTCATAACTAAGCTAAAAAAGCATTCATTTTAATTCGGAAAGCTTTGCCAGACATGGCTAGGTCGACTCGGCTGTTGATGCCGATCAAGAATATATATATTATATATTTATAGGGTCGAAAATGAGTCCTTCACCGAGGTACAAGCTTCTGACTAAAATTAAAATACCCATTGCAAGGGCATAATGAAGAACAGAATCAGTTAATTTATGTTTTTGCATTTGTACAGCGGTTGAAGTTTAATTTAAATTACTTTAAATGTGCAGCCACTGAACTCGGCCACAGATGATGGGTTGACCCAATTAAGTTAAATGGAAATTCATTAAAAATGTCGCTCCATCAAATCATTACCAGATTTGATAATGTATCGAGTGTTGCCTGACATTCGTTTCATTTTGTGAATATGAATCGCTTAATTGTCATTAAATCGATTAATGTCTGTTAAAATGAATGTAATGTGTGTGAAATGCATTTTCAGCTAAGTGGAATGGAAAATGTATAAAATAATGATATCAGTTGCCATGAACTATTTACTTTGTGCTTGTAAAATGAAATGTTATTTTAGGATTTTGCCATATTAATTTTGAATATTGAATGTTATATACTAACCCTGGCAGGAATGTCATTTAAAATTCATGAATGCACCCAAGCAATCTTCCTTGAATAGCAATTTTTGCCAGCCATTTGGACACACCTTATCCCTTTGCCTTTACCCACAGCTGCCACACCAAAACCCGTAGAGCAATTTTCTCCATTTCCATATGGGAAAATCACTCACTCACTCACTCACTCACTCTTCTAATCAAAAGTCAACAATCCGTGCCGAATAAAAAGGTGAAGGAAAACTTTGCTTTTGATGGGCAGACTGAATGGGTTTTCCTTATTAATTGAAAGCATGCAAATTTGCCTCTTCTAATTTTCTAATTTCAAACTCTGATTGTTTCTTTTCGGGGCGGCAGGCAGGCAGACACCAGCGGCACTCGTAATTGTTAATTGGAGGGAAGCGAACTGAGACACCACCCGAGGAGGAGAAGGTGGTGGGGCAAAAGGTTAGCCACCAGAACCAGGGGACCAGAAAGCGATCCACCTGACATGCGAGGCAGCGCTTTGAATCCGTGACGACAATCATTGCATCACCAAGATTAGCGGGCATTACCGCGAGTAGCCAAGCAAGGATGAGTGCCGCCGGCTGGCTGGACATGAATGCAGCTCTCCAGAGTCTCAACGAAAACTCAGAACCTAATGTGAGACCCGGAACCAGGCAGAAGCGACGGAGTAGCTACGCCGGACGCAGTGCAGCCACCGCTGGTGTCCATGGTCGTGGCAGCATTGGCAGTGTGAGTGCCGGCCTTTACAAGGCATTCCGAGAGCGCTTCCTCAGCAGCGATGATTCCTCGGGGAACTATCGCAAACTGCGGCAAAGGGATGCGGAACTAGGACGTAATCCATCCAGTTCCACGGACACCTCCGGCGAGGATGGAGAGCCCAGCAGCAGCAGCAGTGTGGAGGATCTCTTCGCTAGCGAGGCGGACCGACGGAAGTGGCAGCGGAAAACCTCAGAGCAAAGGCGTCGGGCTGCCAGGAAAAAGGTAAGTGGTTTTATTAATAAAATAAATATTTCCCTTACCAAAAATATATTCCATTTAATATACTTAAAAGGCATATTTAGGCCTTATTTTTATTATAAATATGGGGTTGAAAAATCATTTTAAACTGATTATTCAAAGGCTCAAGTTCATGATCAACTTTCATGTAATTGTTTCAAATATTCAACATTTAATACGCGCCACAGTATTTTTTATTTTTGAAATATTATAATACACAATTTAAGTGAAATAACAAGTTGATTCTGAGCAAAAGTGTGGATTTATCTAACGGGTAAGTAGTGCCTTTTTTAATTCACATTATTTTGGTAATTAAAAACACACAATATTATTAATCCAAATTGATGGAATTCATTTAAGATTAGATTTATCCCACTTCCTTTATTTTTACTACCAATAAATGGTAAATACTTTCTTGATGTGCATAAATTTTAACAATTTAAGACCTGTGGTACATATTTTCTATATATATGTATATTTAAAGAGCTTTCGTCTTCCGAGCAGTTGCAGTAAAAGGTTTAAATTACCTGCTTTCCATTTTTATTTTCGCTGTGAGTTGATTTTTAAAATTCCCATCAGGTCTTCCCCAAAAACTACAGTTACGTGTGCGAGTTTATCAGACATTGATTATGGCTTCCAAATTGGTTCACTCTCAGCACGAACTGTCGCGTGAAAAACAATAAACTCTGAACATTCCATTTTCAATTTCATTTTGTTTCGTTGTCGATTTCGTTCACTGGCCCGGCTCATTTGCATTAAATTCCATCTAGTTCCCCCAGTATATTAGATAATTCCATTAATCGCTTTGTTGTGGTCAGACTGGGAGAGTGTTTTTTATAACTACTTAATGAGGAATCATTTTTCAAATGGGGTTACTGGACGCCATGCTCTGTTTCTGTGGCAATATGGTTTCACTTTCGTTTTGGCTGTTAAACCAATTAATTTGTGTGGGTATTTATAGCATATTTTACATTTTTAATTTACTTTTATTATGTGTTGTAGTAACATTCAAAATTTATTGGAATTTGTAAATCTTTAATTGGTACTATAGTTTAGAAAGACAGACAGATAGATACATAGATAGATCGACAGCAAGTATATATTTAAATTGAAATCAATAACAGATTTTATTATATTTTCTATACACTTAACGTATATATTATATTTTCGGATGTTTAACTGTTTATAAGTAAAGTATTTTTAAATCTTAAATTCCTTATTCCCAGTGTATAATAATTTTAGTCAGAAACAGATTTATTAACCTAATAAAAACTGGCACAGTAAGATTTTCCTAATTGAAATTAATTCGTTTTTGACCTAGTTATGAATTTTTGAACTTTAATAATTATCATATTTTTATATCAATAAGAAATGATTTAAATATCTTGAGACTCGTCTTTGGGTTATAAGATCGTAGAATAGTCAGTGATTTCCAGAAATCATTTTTATTAACAAATAAAAATATATATATTTCCAACCAATTGATAAAATTGCAAAAATCTGCTCACTAAAAATAGCTTCCTTTCTTGTTAAATTTTAATCTTTTGGATTCTCGATTTGTGCCACTGTATTTTCTCATGCCGCCGAAACAGCTGTTGGAAAAGCTTTCACTTTGTTTACAAACAGCCGGCGAAAAGCTGCCTCATTTTCTCTCATTTTCCCATTTTCTCCTTTTCCCGAATTTTGTACTTTATAAACTCATTTCTCTCTTGAGTGTTTTCCGCAGTTCCACTCAAAATCTCAGCATTGGCCTCCTCTCAGCGACTTAAATCTGGTTGCTGGACCAGTTTTAGTCTTGCGAGGATTTGGCTTAAACTCTGTTAAGCTGCGTTCTTCTGGGATTTTCTATATATATTTACCTTTTTTTATTGTTCTTTTCTTCTCTATTTTTTGTTGTGTGGGAAATACATTGCGTTGGCTATCATTTCGTGGTCCAGTGGATTTTAAAGTAGCCGCAGCTTAAAGTAGAGCCCCCTTGTCTGTTTGCTGGTTTGTTTGTTTGTTGTCATTGCTTAGCCGCACCGTATGCCATGTTAGTTTTATTTTTACGCCGCTGCTCCTGTCTCGCTTGACTGCACATCCTGTTCATCCTGTTTTTCCCCATTTTGGCTCTGTGGCCATGCTTCTTTTTTTTGGGTTTTTTATATTTATTTTTTTGCGAATTATTCAGCTAGGCGCATTCTTTTTTAAGGATACACAAAGAGAAAGGTCAACGCTTATTTTATTTATTACTTTTTTCTGGATTTAGATAAAAGAAACTAGAGTTTTCTTTATGAAAACTTGAAGATATAAAAGGTATATTTGTTGTAAGTTAATTATAATACACATAATACATTTCAAATTATTTAAAATTATCATTTTTAAGCATTTATATGACTAGACTTTCCTTTAATAGGGTAAATATTAAAATTAACTATCATTTTGTCGCAGTGCTTTTCTATAAGCATTTTGCAGCTGTGTTCACCAAAATAAAATGAGCGAAAAAAATGGAATATATAAATAAATGGCCAAAAATTGTGCGCCGCAGTGTCGCCAGAGAAAGTACCAAAAAAATACGGCGAATGCAATCAGTAGACCCAGATCTATGACGGGAACTTGGCCCCCTGTTCGCTCTTACCAACTAACCAGCTTCTTTCTACAATCTCTCTCTCCTGACTCCCCTTATGTAACTCCAATTTTCAGTTTCCTAGGAAATAGAACCCAGAACCATACCTAGAACCAACCACTAACCATCTCGAAAACCCCCTCGCTCCAGGTGGTGCCTCGCCCGTCCACACATGTGGCCCAATGATTTATGCACGCTACTTAATGCCTTCTTAATTACATTTTATGTTACAACCGAAAAATAATAATATCTTGCTGAAAAACAGCAGACAAGGGTAAGAGAGAGAGAGCAGGGATGGCCAAAGGATGTGGGCCAGAGGCTGGCACACAAATCACATTCCTTTTCAGGGAGGAAGGACGCACGTCCCAGCTGCCAACACAATGCGGAAAATGCTTTTACTTTCACTTTTTTCGGTGCAGCTGCTGTCCCGCTTTTCCCTCCCCTTCACCCCATCACACGTCCCCCTTATGGCCATCATATGCGACTGAAACAAAAATCTATTTGGCAATGGCCTTGGGCTTAGGGATAACAGGGGGCAGGACTTGTGAGGGTCTCCTGGAGCGTCCGGGGGGACAGAGAGAGGTTCGTTCTTGTGTATTCAGTCAACACAAATTTGCGTGGCTTTTTTTTTTTGCACGAATAGGGCTCCCGACAAAATTTTTCCCCCATTGCAGTTCATTGAAATGTGTGCGACAGGCGAAATACAATTACACCATGGATTCATGTTCATTGTCTGGATGCGTGACGTCAGCTGGGGAGACAGAAAGAGAGCCTTGGGGGCTGGGGGACAGGACTCGTATCCTGGGGTGCATTCCAATGCGCCCCAATACCCTCTGTTGACAGCGATAGTTGGATTGCATGGCGGGCCCAAGGTGAAAGTTCAGTTACGTGATGTTTGCCTTGCTTTCGATGGCAACAGATTTCATTTGGACTTTTGTTTTGTGTCAGGATTTAAATTAAAAATTGGTTTTTCGGGAGAAAATTTAAACTACAAAGAAATGGGGGATTAAATCTTTCAGTTTTAAATTGAATTTAAACTGAAAAGGAAGGTTGCTTAATTATATATATATTATAGAAATACCTAGGGTTCCTTAAAAGCCCTTAAAAAGTATTACAAATTAAGAAGAATACATCGTAAACACTGAATTTGGTTCCTAAATAATATCACTTTATACTTGTCTACATATTTTTAAGTCTTATGAACAATGTATTTTTTAGCTTATTAGGTTTATTTTTTTAACAAATGGGAATGTTTTTTCATAAAGCCCATGACTATAACTTCCTTAAACTATCTCCCAGAAGGTGAAAAATCCCACAGGCTTTTGACTCTTCAAAATATCAAAATTGTTTTTAAAATGTCTACATATTCAGCTTAAAACAAACTAAAAATAGGTTAAATTTTAAGAAAATAGCTCTTAAACTGTTGCTTAAACAGATTTCTTAAATAAATATACCTTACAGCACATGGATACAATTTTCTTGCTATAGTTACACTTCAAATTAACCCAAGCTGAAAATGACAAAACCAGAATCCATGGACCATAGACCTGGGTCGTTTTAAGATCCGACTGTCAAGTGCCTTGCCATTGAGCCGGAACAAGTGGGGAAATTCCTTTTCGAATGAAAAACTGGGCTTATTCCTTTTTGTTCTTTTTTTTGTTGGTATAAGCCGACATTTCGTGTTTCACAAATTAAACACGTAGCCAGGCTGGCCGCCAGTGAACAACGAAAACTGAATGCTGCAAATCCTTTCTGTCGAATGCCAAACTGGAGACCCCGCTGTGGTCCTGGTCGTGGTCGTAGCCGTAGTTGTGGCCATTGTAACTGAGCCACGACTTTGGCCCGGCCAGAACCGTGTTGTTAACTCAACCCCAGTTTGCCAGAAAGTCAAATTAGCGCTTACCCTCCCATCTCTTTCGCGTGAAAAATGCAAATTTTCTGTTCTGTTCTGCTGTTCATAATTCGCACTGGCCCTGACCGAAACGGAAGGTCAAGCCTAGAACAATAATTACACAATTTATAATTCACAAAACAATTGTTTCTGACAACTGAAATATATTTTTGTTCGAGCCGAGTTCTTGCTTTCGGGGGAAAAAGTTTCCCACTAAATGGGTTGATGGTAGTTGGGCCCAGCCCAGCGCCCAAGTTTTTAATTGAAATGCCTAAAGTGGGGCCTCATAGTTTTCCTGCCAGTGAAAAGTGAATTGTCGCCAAAGGCGGGGAAAATGTTGTTGAATAGGGTAAAGGTAACAGGGGAATGGGGACATCCCCAGAAGTCCCTGTAACCCCGGAAACCCCGGAAACCCTCTCAACCCTTCGGTTCGGAAAAGAGCAGCTCTCTAGAATTTTCCATGTTGCCCGGGAAATGCGAAGCCCAGTTGCCGGGGCAACAAAATAAACAATCAAGTACACTTAGGCAAACTAATAAATTATAGAATCCTTAAAGTAAATGCATTTATAGTTCGTAGTAAATTAGATAAAATTCACTTGATTAAGAACTATATTTTAAAGCCATTTAATTTAGTTATGTTTTGAGTTTCAGTGAATTGCTTTAAAATTAAGATAGAAAAACTGTACAAACAACTGTATAAAACACTTAAAATGTTTCGTGTGTAGAGTAGGCTATGAAAATTCGTCAATTCCATCTAGTAATCTATGAAAATTCAACCGCCTCTAAAAGTTTATGTGCTAGACGTTGTGCTACACAATTTTCATTCAGTCCACACAAGCCGAACTGGCAAGAGCACAAGCTCCAGTAAAAAGTGAAAAAATTAAATTTTCTAAATCAAAGAAAACAAAACCTAGTAAAAAGTCGAAGTGATTTATAATTTAAAAGTGCCTTTCAACCCGCGTCGCAAATATGTCGATCTTCGACAATCCCGAGCAGCTGCGGCAGTTGCAAAACTTGCTGAATCCCAACCAAAGGAGACCCGGGGTTGAGTACAGCAGCAGCGAGGATGAGGAGGACTCCATGGTGGTCAACAAGATGAGTGAGTAGAGAGAACCACTAGGGGCTTGTCTAGGCAAGAGACATCACATATTTATTGGATATTCACTCTCAGCTCCTGGTGGCATTGGGCCTTCCAAGACTCCAGGTTTCTCCACCAAAGCAAAGAGTAAAAAGAAACCAAATCCTTTGCATACGCCCTTGGTGGAGGAGCAAAAGAAACAGCCGGAGAACCTGGAAGAATGGCAGCTGCAGCAGGAGAGGGAGGACAATGACATCCTCGACTCTCGGAAGACACCCGAGTATACGATGACCTACCGACAGGCAGTCGGCACAGAAGATGTGTTCCTCCAGGTGAAACTGTCTCACCTATTTTTATGAATAATTATCCCTAAACTGATATGTAATAACCCCTGCAGATGGGTAATCGGACGGGTGCTTCCGCCAGCTGTGAAGATCTCATAATGGAGATCTCCCTGCCGGACGAATCAATGGCTGCCGATAAAATGTCGCTGAGTCTACAGGAAACGGAAGTGGATCTGGGCACCTGTTTGTACCGCTTGCGGCTCCCACTGCCCCATCCTGTTGACGTGGACAGATGCCACGCCAAGTACGACAGCGAGGAGAGGAAGCTCAGGCTTACTCTGCGGCTGAAAAGGGAGTTGGACTTCGTTAACTTCTAGGAGAGAAACGAAAGAGTTACACGGTCGAGTACCATTTTTAAATACCCTTTCCACGAGGCGGTATATACTCTACAAATCAAAAGAGGTTCATTTGCACTAACACTTTTACAAGACGACAAACAGCGGCAGTAGTGAGAATAATATTTCCGTAAGTTAATTGCAATAACTATACTCAAAAGTATTTATATAAAATTACAAAAACTACAGTACTACCAAGTACCCAAGCATCCGAAGTAGTTTTCAGAAGAGAAGTTTAATCAATCCCCATTGACCCCTGATGCCCAACAAGCAATACCCAGCAACATTACATTCTAGAAAACCAGAAACTGCAATTACATTTCCATATAAAAAATATTTCAGTAAGTTGAATTGCAGTAACTATTAAAATTGTAAATCTAAAACTACAAGAACTACATTACTAGGATCAGGACTTGTTCCCAGGCCCCGTCGAGAATCCCCTGCACCCGAACCATTGCCACCAACAGCTCCAAAGAACATCATCAACAGAAGAAGTTTTAAGAATAAAATAAATAATAACGGGGGACCCTTAAACACACAAGAAATTCCCAGCAGCAATACATTAGCAATATCACTTTTACAAGACAGAAAACATTTCCAACCGCGGCAGCAGTTTTCAGTAACAACTAAAGAAGTCCACATTATGAACAATTCAGTAACTATTAAGATTTTGAATCTATAATTTAAAAAAACCTGCAGAACTTAAAGCAATCCTTAATCCCCACTCCCGTCAAAGATCCCTGAATTCCACAACACTTACGAGGCAATCAACATACACTTAAACCATAAACAATGTAATTCAAATCATAAAGATAGAATATCTGCATCAGTCTCCTGTCTCTTGGTCGCAAAGTAATTCCCAGTAACACTGCATTCACAATATAACTTTTACAAAATTAAGAGCAGCATAAGAGCATAAGAACATCCATTAACAATCGCATCATCAATCAAAACAAGAACATCAACAGTAGCAGCAGTTCCAAAATGTCACAGTAAAAATATTACAGTAAGTTAACATATATAACATTATTGTAATCAAAACTTATAAAATCTGCAGCACAAGCAGCAAATCTGAAATCAGCACCAATCCGATCCGTAAGAGCAATCAAAATTCATCATCATCAGTAGCAGCCTTATACTAGATCCCATCTAAATTTATATATTATATGTATATATATATATTACCACCAGCAGCTCCAAAGAACATCAACAGAAGTAGTTTTAAGAAGAATTAAATGAATAATACCCTGTATCCCGATTACAAACAAGCAATTCCCTGTCTCCCGAAAAAAAAAGTTCAATCAATCCCCCTGACCACTGATCACCAAGAAGCAATAATAGCAACCAGAAACTCCAATTACATTTCCACATTCAAACTACTGCAGTAAGTTAGCCGCAGTAACTATTAAAACTTTTAATCTTAAAATATAAAAACTACTACTAGGAGCAATCCTTGTCCCCTGGCCCAGTAGAGCACACCTTGCAAAAAACCAAATATATGGAAAGGCGGCCCCAAAGAAAAGTCCCGATCCCGATCACAAACGATCAATTCCCAGCAGCAATACATTAGCAATATCATTTCAGTAAGTTAACTGCAGAAACAAGATTTAAATTCTATAATTAAAAAACCCACAGATCTAGCCTTGACCCCCAACATACATAAACCATGCATATCCAAGGTTACTTCCAGTAATTTAGATCATTACCAGCAACAACATCAGTCACCTGTCTCTTGGTCGCAAAGTAATTGCCAGCAACACTACATTGAAAATATAACTTTTACAAAATTAAGAGCAGCAGTTCTATTGAAAAGATCAAATAATTATCAAGTCAAAACAAGAACATCAACAGTAGCAGCAATACAACTTACAAAACGGAGAAACAGCAGCCAGCAGTTCCAAATAGTCACACCTATTAGCACTGCAATCAACGGTCAACATCTTTAGCAGCCTAACATTAAATCCCATTTGGCATAATTTCCTTAAAGCAAAAGGACTATAATCAAGAAAGCACTGCAGTATAATACGTTAATAATAATAATAATGGAAAGGAAATCATCAGCCGCAGCCTTAGACCAAACAACTATAATCAAGAAAGAACTGTATTATAATTTTAATTTCTAAATACGATAAATTTATAGTGTAGTAAAAGTTTGGAAATAAATGTATCAAAATTCTCCGTGAATTTGCAAATTTGTTTTATTTAATTTACAGATTTTAGAAATACTACTCTAGGAATTATTGCTTTAATTTAAGGGACAAAAAAAGCTAGGTACTTAAAATATAAAAAGCATTTTGCCTACTCTACCAACCATAGAAAGACATTGATATACTTGCAACAGAATATTCAAGTACCCATCAAATGTGAATCGTTCTGCGTACTTTTCCAAATTGATATGTTCAAAATTGATTTAATTCACTGACCCCAAGCCAATCTTGAGCAAATATTTTGACGCTAGAGCATTACTTGAATTTGGCCGCAATTTCAATTCAATTGCCGGCACTTTCGACTTGTTTTGCTACCAAATTGCGCATACGCCGCATGGTCCTTGCTGCCGGGTCAATCGCAAATTACGCTCAAACGAAGCATGAAGTATTCCTTGGGCGCTCGGGTAGCCTTTTATTACGGCGCTGTCAAAAATCACTTTGGCTAAATATTTGTCAAGCGCAGACAAAACCAAAGTCAAATACAACACAACCCGAGGGGGAGAAGTTGAAAATCGAGATTTTAGGTTCAGTTTTTTCCCTCTTCGAGCCCTAATAGGCCACGATTGTGGGAGGATGTATTGGGAGGAGGATTGAGATGGTGTGGAATTTTCTGTTGTCGTTGGATTCGGGGCACACAATTACGTCCCGCCGGGTCTGCGGCTGCGTTTTGCCTCATTTACCCTGACTGACGCTGGCACATTTCAATTTGCTCGCTCCGGGCAAGCTGGGCCCACTTTTCGGCACTCGGTCACCGGCAGAGACATGATAAAGTGTCGTCCTGCTCACCAAAGTATAAAAAATATATCCCCATATACATATATATATTATATATTTATATATGTAGAAGTTAAAGTTCAGGCAGGCACACAGAAAAGTCACAAGGGCAAAAGATGAAAACTCACAAGTTTTGGGCAGTTTTGGGAATGTGCGTGCCTCGTCCTCCTCATCTTTTTCCTAATGAAAGTTTTGCCCAGGACTATGATGATAAATCATCAGACAAGGACTCCGGCGACTGTCAACGGGAAAACTTTCAATTCAATTTAAATGTCCGAGCCCCCGTGGGCAGCCGGCTGTAAGGGGAAAGTGAATTATTTTACAGCAAATTAGGTGCGGGTGGATTTTCAAAGAACAAATTATTATAATACCAGGGCTTACTCTTGGTCAAATAATAATAACAAAGAGTTGTAGCTAAAGCACGCTCTGATTCAGCAGGAAAGCTTCGATTATATATTTATTCCATCCTCAAGAAACCAATTTCTCAGCCAAAGGCAAACGTTTGAAGACGGCAAAGGTAAACAATCCGAAATTGTATCAGCATTTCCCGAATACTCCTTTTTCGGCTCTCTTGTGTTCAATGACATTCAACAGGGAAAACAAACAGGAAAGTGGAAAGAACGAAAAAACAAATTACCATGTGTTGATGTTAGACTTTCCAAACAAACAAAAGGGAAACTTACCCAACCTACGAAAAAAATAGGAAAACTACGCAAAAACCAACAGAGAAAAAGGCTGACAAAAAAAAGAATATACCCCACATTTTTTTCAGCTCATTTACACAAACGCACGTTCCAGCATCCGTGATGATCATCCTGGCCAGAACCACACCCTTTTTATCATCTCTTAGAGAAGTTTCCATCAACACAAATACATGGAAATGGGAACACACAAAATTCAAATGCAAATTGAGCGCATTTTCCCATGTGCAATGCGGCCAAGTTTTGTGTGAGTTTTTTGTTTTTTTTTTGGGGGGAAAATTCACCATCCACCTTGGGGGCAGGAAAATTGCCAACTTTTTAATATGTGTAAAATGCCGTGTGCGAAATACTTTAAACCCCAACATATTTATAACCAAACCGGAAAACGCTTGTCCTTGGATGTCTGTTTTTTTCGCGTGGTTTTTCTGGTTTGCAATAAATAATTGTTGCACTTTTCCACACTTGAAAAATGCAATAAGCCAAAGGCCACACTTTTTCCCACAACGATTCATGAGTGTTTTTGGGTGGCGCCAAGGCTTATACTCACGATTCTGATGAAAATTTAAAGTGAAAGACACTCTCATACTGTGCTTAATAGTTTTCTCTCTCCCCTATAAGCCACGATTTTCCACTTTCGATGCCATTTCGCTGGCTCCTCTCCCTGGTAATTGCCATCTGATTAAAGTTAACTCGGCTTACAGCTTACAGCTTTTCCGGCAACAAGTCACCCGGCTGAATGCGACTCACAGGGATCCCTCTCTGTTTGGTTTTTCCGTGTTGGTCACTGAAAGATTTTCCGGTGTTTTTTTTTTTTTTGTTTCTTCCGTTCCACATAAATCTGTAGGTTTTATTTTTAATTACCAGTAAAAACCATTTCCATGTCGACACAGTTAAAAGTTAAGCCCCCCGAATAAATTTCAATGAAAAAGGAATGATAAACACAGGATATATTTTTAAGGAGAAAGGCTTTTAAGTTGCTGTCTCATGTAAGTGATAATTGGAGAAAGTTTAAGAGAAATGATGGAAAATTTAATCAGGAAAAATGCATAATTATTTAAAAGGTAGGTAAATATTCAATCTTTACTTTAAGGATATCCAAGTCCAAGCAAAAGGTCCCCTTCTTTGTAATGACTTTGAAAACTTATTTCGGAATCATCATTATTTTCTCACACAGTTTGCTACAACTGCCACAATTTACCAATTTTCGCACAGAAAACACTTTTCACAGCTCATTAGGGCTGGCAAATTAAATGGAGGGATACCAGAGAGAAAAACACGGAAAGTTGGAAGTCAGGAAATGAGCTGAGCTGCAAGCGTTTAAAGAAAAGGCACACGAATATCACACATACGCCATGTGGTGCTCTGTGCTCCGGCATCTTTGGCAATTGTAGTTAGGCAAGAAGATGCCTTGTTGCTACATGGCGAAATAACAAAATCATTGTGGAATTTAATTAAGTTGCCTCGGTCGTCGGGAGCCACAGTTGGTATGAACACAACAGTGCCGTGCAGAACAGAGCCCATTAACACATTTTTCAAGTTTAATTCAACGTAATAACAAATTTTTCTAGGCACAAAGTCTAGGCGGAGGAGGTGTAGAAGAACTCTGTTGCGGCACTCAAGCAGCCATATAAATTACAGACAGACATGAGCAGCATATACGAGGACTCCGAGGATGCGAAAGTGTTGCCATTAAGTCGCACACGTGTTCCCCCAACAGGGCCGGAGAAAGTGGCTAGAGAAAGCAGGGAGCAGGGAACAGAGAACGACAGGAGAAAGTCAGACAAGTCAGTGCCAAGTGCCAGCGGCAGCTGATGGCCCTTCAAGCACATTTCTTCAAGTGGCTTCTATCCCGGAGACCGGCGCTTCCTCCCCCCTAATTAAGACAAATGTAAAAACTAAAAACAAAAAATCTACCAAAAAGCTAAAAAGAAGAGAGAAGAGAACATATGCAGGGAGAAAATTATTATTATAAATATGATATAGGAAATAGGAAAAGCCTTAACTTGAGCCTCATAAAAATCAAGAATTATAATTTAAAGGTATATCAACTATCTTAACATATTCAGAGAATATTTTAATGTTATTTTACTGCAAACTCTATGAAATACCTTTAATTTCTAGCAGTTTTAAATTAAAATTTTAAGAAACCTAAATTAAATCTATATAAAAAAGCTGTCTATGTTTTTCAAATAATTTAATATTTCTCCTTTCGTAATTGATAATAATTAAGTACCTTTTTCCCACTGTGTACTGTGTGTCAGAACCTCTACCGAAAGTTGATAAAAAGACATTTTCACTTTAGTTCTTTTTGCGACCTGCATGTTGACACACGGCATTTATGTTTGCCCCAACATTGTCACGTGTCTCATCTGGCGCGTCGTCCTGCGGCAGCAGCAACAACAAATAAAACTGAGGCAGCAGGACGACAAAACAAAAACAAAGGAAAATGACAAACGGAAGGGAAAGGCAAGGAGAGCAAAGTAAAAGCAACGGAAAGTAAAGGAAAAGCCAACAGCAACAGCAAATGTCAATGTCTCAGTGAATGTGAATGGCTTTCACCTCCACTGAGGAGCTGGGCGTGACCTTTTCGCATTAATCTCCAGCATGATGGCATTTTAATGCAGGAAACTCAACTATAACTATATGGTTATTTATTGTGATGGCGCTGACAGATGCTCCGCCAGCTATGGGATATGGGTTCATGAGTTATGTTACGTATGTATGTATGTATGTGTGGAACCGGAAACGGAAGGAGCATTGTGAAATGGTCTCGGAACATTCAATTAGATCATCAATTAGTTGTCTGCCTCAGTGGCGGAGCAACATGTTGCCAAGTGATTTGGACAGCGGATTAGGCTAACAGCTTGGACTCCGCGTGGCATAAGAAATGAGTGGGGATTAAAGAGGGTTATGTCCTGGTAATATGCCACCGCACTAATTTAGATTGATCGAAAGGCGTTAAGTTTAATGTTTTATGTCAAGGAAATATATAATACTTTAAGACTCCTTTCTTGTTCTTAAAGATATTTACTATGTAGCAATTATCTATCTGTATATTATAAATTACGTATAGCATTTAAATCTTATAAATACTTATGTCCGGATATATAATTTCGAGATTTTGGTTTAAAGAGCAATGTAAATGTAATAAATCTAAAGAAATATCACTTAAATATATCAAGTTTCTAGAGATCCAAGGTTTTAAGAGTTATTAAAGCCTTAAAAACCATGTTGTATATGCTCCAAGAGTTCCTTGCATTTGTATACCAATCAATTATTATTTAAATGCTTTATAAATATATGTTATATTTACAATATTTTCTGCGTGGTCTAGATAAATTATATAGTAATTTACACTCAACAAGAAAGGAAGTTAACTTCGGCACGCCGAAGTTAATATACCCTTGCAGATAGAACTTCTATGACTAGGAATCCCTACAATATAAATTATATATATTTATGATTAAAAACAATGAAGTAACACCTTTTTTCATTTAATTCACCTAAACATATTTATATTTGCAGTTAACAGATTAGCATTTTTCCTCTACATCAAACGATCGTTTGTATAGCACAGTCGTCCGATTTTCATGAAATTTTACACAAAATTTAAGACTAATATAACATGGCTATACCTCAAACTTAATGAAAATCTGTTGAAAACTGAAAATGTTATAATTTTATTTGTAAAAATTTTCCGGTCATTCCAATGGCAGCAATATGATATAGCCGTCCGTTCCGACATATATACGAGTGAGAGTATATAGCTTCAAAACTGAGAGACTAGTTTGGGTAGAAACGGACAGATGGACAGACGGATAGACGGGCATGGCTAGATCGACTTGGCTGTTGATCCTGATCAAGAATATATATACTTTATATAGTCGGAGGTGCCTCCTTCACTGCGTTGCAAACTTTAGACTGAAATTATAATACCGTGCAAGGGTAAAAATCCTAAATAGGCTTATATTAGCAAGCTTAAAATCCTTATTTTTTTAGCGGGTTTTTGTGTGAAGAATTACTTTTGCAAAAATTATATACAAGCATTGCTTGAAATATGTTAACTTTCTGTTATTTAAAAGCATACCAATTCTTAAAAATTTGCTTAACAAATATAGATCAACTTATTTTAATATATATTTTATATTGAGCAGTTTCGATCATCACCATTGTTGTGTTCTTTGTTTAGTAAGTTGTGCTGAATAAACTATTTTCGGGAGTTAAGTATACTTTACTATAAACAAATAAATGACACCATATCCCCGCTCGTCATGATCATCACGGCTCTTAAAGAGAGCTTGGAAGACTTTTCGAGATCAATAATAAGCTAGTCAACACGGCCAAGGGTATGGAAATTAAACAATAATTTAATATAAACCATATTTTCATGGATCTTGACTTTTTGGGCCTTGTTTTGGTTTCAATTATCAAGAGATATTTTATTAACGTCTTACCTTAATTAAGAAAACTATAATTTTTATGATTGCCACATCCACTTGATCAAAGTCTATCAACCACCATGCACTAGATTAGTAATTTATATAAAAAACACACAAAAAAAGAAGAAAACTAAACTTCCTCTAGCTAGGGCCTTGCTTAAGTATAAGACTTGAGAATCGCAGAAGAGAGCGCTCTATGTACCAAATAGTTAAACAAAGCCTATCTTTCAGTCGAAAGCTTGAAACTTAGTGAAGGAGTCATTTCCGATCCTATTATTCATATATATTCTTGATCAGCATCAACAGCCGACTCGATCTAGCCATGGTTGCCACATCCACTTGATCAAAGTCTATCAACCACCAAGCACTAAATTAGTAATTTATATAAAAGAAGAAGAAGAAAACTAAACTTCCTCTAGCTAGAGCCTTGCTTAAGTGTAAGCCTTGAGAATCGCAGAGGAGAGCGCTCTATGTACCAAATAGTTAAACAAAGCCTATCTTTCAGTCGAAAGCTTGAAACTTAGTGAAGGAGTCATTTCCGATCCTATTATTCATATATATTCTTGATCAGCATCAACAGCCGACTCGATCTATCCATGGTTGCCACATCCACTTGATCAAAGTCTATCAACCACCAAGCACTAAATTAGTAATTTATATAAAAGAAGAAGAAGAAAACTAAACTTCCTCTAGCTAGAGCCTTGCTTAAGTGTAAGACTTGAGAATCGCAGAGGAGAGCGCTCTATGTACCAAATAATAACGCAAAGCCTATCTTTCAGTCGAAAGTTTGAAACTTAGTGATGGAGTCATTTCCGATCCTATTATTCATATATATTCTTGATCGGCATCAACAGCCGAATCGATCTAGCCAGGTCCGGCATAAATTTAATTTTTTCAAATTTTTTGACAATTTTAATTTTTAATTTTTTTTAATTTTTTATAAGGGGTATCGTTAAAATGGTGAAAAATTGACGAAATTTGAATTTTTTTAATTTTTAAATTAAGTATGCAGATTTGTTACCCTAATAAAAACTGAAATTAATGCATTTTTGGCTTAGTTATGATATATTTAATATTTGACCTCTTAATACTTAGCTAACTTCAAAGGTATTAAGAAAATTATTCATGTTTTTTTTGTATATAAAATAAGTTTTTAATATATGATTAGTGTACTTACTTTGAACTTCTATGAGTAGGAATCCCCACAATATAAATTATATATATTTATGATTAAAAACAATGAATTAACACCTGTTTTCATTTCTTTCACCTAAACATATTATATTTGCAGTTCACAGATTTGCATTTTTCCTCTACACCCAACGATCGTTTGTTTGGCACCTATATGATACAGTCGTCCGATTTTCATGAAATTTTACACAAAATTTAAGACTAATATAAAATGGCTACACCTCAAACTTGATGATGATCTGTTTAAAACTGAAATAGTTGTAATTTTTAATTGCATTAATTTCTCGATCGTTCCTATGGGAGCTATATGATATAGTAGTTCGATTTTCATAAAATTTTACACAGAATTGTAGAGTATAATATAATGGCTATATCTCAAATTTGATAAAAATCTGCTGTAAACTGAAAATGTTATAATTTTTTTTGTAAAAATTTTTCGATCATTCCTATGACAGCTATATGATATAGTCGTCCGATCTGGCCCGTTCCGACATATATATGAGTGAGAGTATAGAAGATAGCTTTAAAACTGAGAGACTAGTTTGCGTAGAAACGGACAGACGGACGGACGGACATGGCTAGATCGACTCGGCTGTTGATCCTGATCAAGAATATATATACTTTATATGGTCGGAGGTGCCTCCTTCACTGCGTTGCAAACTTCTGACTGAAATTATAATACCCTGCAAGGGTATAAAAAGTAATATGTAATAAGGAATATGTAATAAGGATGTAATACTTGTACATCCTATCCTATTGTCTCCACACCCTGATATTTTCCACTTCCAAGAACAGATAAAACCCCCTTTTTCGTGTGATTCCCACATTAGTTTCTCTCCGCCCCAAAATTCAATTTATTTCAAGCAGGCAAAGAGTGCCAAAAAGTGAGACAAACAAATAAACAAGGCCCGGCTGAAAAATGTTGCCTACTTAGCAGCGCAACGGATTTTCAATAGGGAAAAGCCACAAAGTGAAAGACATCGCAAAAGTCAAAGCCCGGCCACAAGGCAAATGCCAAATGGCATTATCAATAGTGGATTCAGCGAATCCCCAGAAGAAATAGGAAGTGTGTATGTAGGGTGTGCTGCGGCACTGGGTGCAGCCATAGACATGCAATCGCAAAAGGATACATATTGCAAAGAGTATATGTGTGCCAGCGAAATATATATGTGTGTATATATAGAGACATGCCATTTATTCCATTGAACAAAAAGTCATTTGTAAGTGTTTTTGTGCGTAAAGGAATTTATTATAAAGGAGGAACCGTTCCACAGCAGATTTATTGCTTTATTACGATGGGGATCGTGGGGGTATGAGAATGGCAATGGCAATGGGTAAGGGACTGGGAATGGGTATGAGAATCGGAATCCAGTTTGGCGACAAAGGCCAGAGTAAAAGTAAAGAAATGGCACTGGCAAATATTTAGCACATGAAGGCGAAAAACAGGCTGCAAGAGTGATGGGACAGCAGGGGAGCTCAACGCTTAAGGAGGAAGAGGATGAAAATGGCGAGAGAATGAATGCTGCATTTCCTGTCTTTTTTGGCCTTTGTCTTGGGTCCCTTTTTCTGCGTTCTGCTTTCCCAGCGGTGGGTGGTGGTTGTGCTGGGTGGGTCTTGAGGGCGTGCCACATCGTCGACATCGTCATCAGCATCATTCTCATTGCAGTCGTTAAGTTATAGACTTTGATTTCGTTCTGTGACTCTGCGACAACTTGCCATCCTCCAAGGAGAGAGAGACTGAGAAGGAGACTCGTTTCAAAGATTTATTTGCCTTGTGCCCTGGCAACGAATGCCGGCATTCATATCCTTGCTCCTCGGTCTCGCCCTCTTAAATGGCTTTAATTGATTTCTGATTTTATGACCCTGGCGGACACATTTCACACTCGATTACATGCCAAGTGGAAGGCGATGGCTTCAAAGATTTTGCATTTTCTTAAGGCCCTGTTAAGAATTGATCGTTAAGTTTATGGGATGAAAATGCCATAAATATTCAAATAAAATTCAATTAAAAAGAGCTAAACAAATTAGTAGGCCATGCCTTTGTTGACATTCTCTTTGGAATGTATTTGTTTAGTTTGTAATTTGAGCCACATCTAAAAGAAAAAATCCTATATTATTTCTAAAAAATGTCTGACGACGAATTCGAAGAAGCCCTTAGCTGGGAGCACATCGATGACAGCCAGGGCAATAATGTCGATGCCTCTGTGGTGCCTCTGGATCCCTCCGAAGATGCCCAGTTCTCGGAGCAACAGTACAAGAATATCCAGGATCGACTGACACGCATCAATAAACGTATTATAATGGCCAACACTGCCCTATCCCAGCTGCAGGAAAAAATCAGGTCCAGAGTTTCGCAGACTCCAGAATTGCCAGTCGCTGCTGATACTTTAGCCGGAGGCGATAATCCATTTCGAGCCGAAGAAACTGAGCCTACTGAAGTCGGTGAAGAGAGCATCAACTAATGATTCAAATTGTAAAAAATCCAAACACACACATACTGAATTTGGTGGCTGTGATCCTCTAAGCACATTTGTTTGATTTGATTTGTTGCTAATTAAAAATTGCCATGGAGCTAAGTTGAAAGAAATTTTTATTTAATTAATAATACAAACACTACACAGTGTTAAGTAAACCCACTCAATTATTACAATTTTAACCCAAATAATCACTCCTTAAACTTGTGTATACACCCAAATAAGGGATATAAAAATATATCTTTCGCATGCACGATTTTCGCCATAATTTTAGGCCATTTGCCAGCGCCATTCACAATTTATTTTGGGACTTTCCCACTCACACACACACACAATTGCCAAAAGGAACTTCCGCTATGACTTCTTTTTCGGGGAACAATAAACTTTTCATTGACCGCCCTTCACAAAAATGGGTAACCCCCGAGCGATTCCGAAGTGGCTGCACTTTGTCAAGGGTCCCTTTGTTTTCGGCCAAAGAAACTTTGCCATGAGAAAACCCAAATGAAAGACAAAGTCGGAAAATTTGAGACGGAAAATTTGCATTTGTGCACACACACACACACTCAGAAAAGACAGATTGCCTTGGGGCCAAACAAATATGTTAAAAGCAATAAATAAGGAAGGACATTCTTCAAGTTCGTCGACTGCCGCTCGACTTATTGCCAAAAAGATGTGACTGAGAAAATTGAAGAGTCAAAACCAGAAGCTAAAAAGCTATATATGAAACTGAAACAGAATCTAAGAACTAAACTGTATAAGAAGCCAAATACAATTTGCCATAATAGCGGCGACGCAGCAACAGCGTTAAATTATATGAAATATTTTTATTGTTAACTTGCAAAAATGTCAGAAGCATTTTGTCAGCTTGGCAAATCTCAGCGGCGGCAGTGGCAGCAATTGTGCAACGCGTTTATCACTCCAGCTGGTGCAACTGTGGCATGTTGCAGCTGCTCCTCGTATCCTGCGGCAGTTTGTCATAGTCGGGGGAATGTACTCCGTAGTCCGCAGTCCGTGGTCCGGGATTCCCTCAGTCCTTAGTCCCTCGGAGTCACTTGGAGTCTCGCATTTTGTCACAAACTCTCAGCTTCATGCTCAAGTAAACTTGGCCTCAATGTTGTGACTACGCATTGTGTGTGCGATAACCGAGTTGACTGAGTGAACTCACCCGCCTGACTGAATGAGTGCCTCCATGGAGAACCCTGTTCCGAGTGCCAGGATAAATTCCAAACTTGTACGCGGAGTTAGAAGGCAAATATCGTAGATGGATATATTATTAAAAGGAGAGATATCTCACTTTGTTATTTAACAGACAAAGTCGTGGAAATGTAACACATTTTAATGGGGATGAGAAAGAGCTTTGCTGAATACAAATTACTTTGCCTATTATTTTTCAAAGAAAATACCAATTAAATATAAGCTATATGCTAAAATACATCACTTAAATTTAGTTTTAAATTTATTTCCTAATTCAATTGTTGTAATGTCAACTAATAATGTCAGTAACCTGATACTAATATGAATATATATTCAAGAATTCAATTTAATTAAATAAACATTTCGACGCTTTGCATAAAATGTCTCTTATACTACTTCTACTAAAGCAATAAATGTGGATTAATTTCAATTAAATGTAACAATGAAAGAAATAGCAAGAATTATTTTGTAGTATCAATTACCCTTGACTATACAATAATTAATAATTCAGATAATAAAATAATTTGCTAGTTATAAATACAAAGTTATTGTTAAGACACTTGAAGACATTTGAACAAAACGACTTAAGTCCATCATAAAATCATTCATTCCTTGCATAAGCTAGCTATGTGAATGACAACAAATTTAAGTTAGAAACTAAGACCAGCTAAATGCACACATTTCAGCTTTTAATTTCCGATTTGTAGCTTTGAAGTCTGGCCAGGCATGCCCCTTCGCCTCACGTCATCCATTCATTAAAATTTCAATATGAGCATCGAATGAAATTCAATTACAAAATGCCACAAAATCCGAAGGCAAAGCCATAAGGCCTGCCCCACGCACGTTACTCTTTGCGACCTCAACACAATTTAGAATATGGGGAAAAGCACCGGGGAAAATAACCCTGGGAAAATCCCAAGTTCAATGTAACCTGTCACTGACAGCGTGCTGCAGACAAACTAATAATGTTGCCCGGCGATAATCGCAACTGGGGAAAACTGTTTTGGGGGAAAAAGGAGAAGCATTCAGAGCAAATCAATCGCACTGAAAATGAAAACGAAATTGAAACTGAAACCGAAGCTGAAGCTGAAGCTGATGGGTTTCGACTGAGAAGTGTCCTGTCATTTGGCCAGGAGGTCCCCACTCAACAGATATTTCGATACTGATGATAATGGTGATGCTGATGATGATGACGATGACGATGACTAAGTCGCGAGGGAACGGAAGTCCCCAATGACTGGCCATTTTCCAGAGAGCAGAGTCGAGTCAAGTTGAGTTGAGTTGAGTTGAGTATTCTTTTTCGTTGGTAATCTGTGGAAATTAGCATTTCAATCAAATCTACTTTTATGTGTCTGACTTGTTTTATGCCCCAATGACAGCTACAAAAGCCCCCATCATCATCCTCGTCATCATCATCATCATCCAGTGGGGCAAATGAAATTGTATCCATTCTGTTTATGCATTTGACGAGCCCCGAAAACGAGAACGAAAAATTGTCGAAATTGATTGATTAAATATTTATTCATACGGAAGTGCTTAGCGTGTTTTCTTCCCTTTTTTTCTCTTTCTCATCTTGAGGGGATTCCTACATATTTATGAACTGCGGCCTTTCCGGGCAAATTTCTCCATGTTTGTTGTCTACTTTTGGCATTTTTTTCCCTCTGGTTTGTGTCATTAATTCAGTTAACATGGAATCCCTTTTTGTGGCTCAGATGTACGGATAGTTTTATTCCTTTAGCAAATAAGGATTTACTTAGGCTTTAATAAACCAGTCAAGTGGAAAATAATCAAGAGAATATTTTGTAATAATTATTAGGAACATGGAGGAACTTAATTACTTTGATTTCTATTAAATCATAAGCTTGCCCATTAAAGGAGTGTGCGTCATTTAAATTGGTCTAGCAAATATTTATTCATTTTCCCCAGATGAAGTTCTCGGCATTCCCGCATTCTCATCGTTGACTAGCGGATGAAATTTCCCCAGACGGAGGGGAGAACTCATCTCAACCCGGGGGGAGGGTGGGGTTCTGGGACGTGGCTCATTAATTCGGTTTGGTCCCCGGCACTTAAAGTCAATCAACTGGCCCGCAGGAAATCTTAATTAAACAAACTTGTTTGGCAAATCTTTTATAAATGGCCGTCGATCCCACAACAACAACAACAGCTGCTGGGGCCACCTAGCAACTCTCCAGCTCGAAATGCCATTAGCCATGCTCCGGATACACTTAGCCAGAGCTCATGTTGGCCGGAAGTGGGCATCCACACACACTAACACACAGCCCATTCAAGCCGTTTTGATGGTTTTAGCACATTTTCGACTTTGATTTTTGGCCGCAGTTTTTAGCCCACAGTTTTGCAGTGAAGAGAAACCAAACACAATGGCTATTTGTAGGCGGCTGCCAAGGGTCCTCCACAAATTGCTAAAGGGTCTGGCTTTCGGTGCTACTCACAGCTGCACTCGGAATTGCCTAGTGCTCCTGGGAGCATTTCACATTCTGCGATAGGTTTGCCCCTGCTCCTGGTTCTTGCTGAGTCTGGGGCCATTAAAGCGCTAATAAATTCTCATACTCATATCAATCGATGGCCGTGTGGAGACGTAGGCCCCATAAAGCGCTGTTTAATGGGCGAATGTTTGCTCCCGGCCTCATTGGGCACAGGAGCACGAGAAGTGTATAAATAACCAGTGAGAACTACACATATATTTGAGTGCAACGAATATGGGATACTGGGTATAAACCTTGGCACTTGTTATATGTTGAAGATGAAGATGAAATTGAGTTAATAAAATCGATTTTATAAAATTTAAAGTCCCTCCAGAATGAGCAGATCCTGATCATAAGTTAAATAATTGCAAGAAATCAAATATATTTAGGTTCGTAATTTAACTAGAAACTTTTAAAAAATAATAAAACAAATCAATTTAACTATCTGGAGGTATAAAACTTTAATAACGCCTTCTTACAATGATTTTAAGTCCACACGAATTATTGGGTTTATTTAAAAATATATATTTTTGATAAAGAAAGCTTTTATATAAACCACAACATACCTTTTAGTAATCTACAAATACCTAGCACAAAATCATAAACTCAGGCGAATCGTCGTCGTCATATACTGCAGGAGGAAATGGTGCTAGTGAAAATTTATGTGGCGAATGCACCGGAGAGTCATTGAAATAATGAACCGATTTAAGGTAGAGCCTTTATTAAAACCAAACCAAATTAGGTTCAACTAATTCCGGGCTCAAGCTGGCAGCTATTTCAATCCCTTTATGTCCAGCATGAACTTCGTCCTTTGGCCCCGCCTTGGGAGTGACCGCAGCAGTCACTCAATGAACACCTTTTGAACCCCAGTCAGGCTCTTGATGATGATGTCTTTATTCAATGGTCTACCTCGTCGTCCCCTCCCTTGGGGCAATAAAGCACAAAAAAGGAAAGAAAAAACAACAAAAATAATAATAATAATGAAAAGGAAAAAGTTTGTTTGTTTTTCGCCCCCCTTGATATTACTTTAAATATGCAAAACTTCACTGTTTTATGTCCTTGCAGCTGTCCAGTTTGGCCGGCCACGACGAGGTCCTTGTTTCTCTCTAACGAAGTGCCAGGGATTCCCCTTTTTGAAGAGGTAGAAGAGTAGCAACAAAATGCTCACAATTATTATGTTACACAAAACAAAAAAGAAGACGGGAATAAAGTTGGAAAACAGCGTTATGGAAAAGTTGCGTCTGGTCCTGGGCCACTTTTGCATTACATTATCTCAAGTTTTGCGCTGGCAATTTCTCATGTTTTCCCCCTATACTCTTAGGCATCGCTCGCATGTCCGTATTTGTATTTACCCATTGTCGTGCACATAAACATGCAGCTGACTTGTTACTGTCCTATCACCATCATCATCATCATCATGCTCAACGTCAGGAAAAACTTGTGTCGCGGAGACAGGACGAGAAAAAGTAAAGACGAGAGATTGAGAGTTTGGTTGAGTGGACAGACTAAGGAATACCTAGGGATCGGAAAAATTGAGCTTTAAAAGTGTTATTTCAATACTTTTACAATCATGAATATCCTATGCTAGATAATCGATCTAGATCATTAATTGTTAACTCAAAAAGTTTCTATATCATCACATTCCATGATACTCAAAGAGTTCTTAAGAGACTTCTTCATAGAAATGTTGCACTTTAAACTTTACAGTACATATATTATTATACCTTAAATCCCAGAAATCTCTACTCCCTTTCTTTTTCCCGTGTATTACCTATTTATGCACTCGTGCAACATGCCCCTTGTATATATATTTCAACGAGTACTGACGGTATAAAAACCGAGACTCTGATAAAAACTTTGCCTCATTTTCATGTCAGGCCAAATGAGTTTTGGAAAGTTGCCCTCTTGCCCAATCTCCCTGCCCTGTCCTGCCTGGGAAAGTTCTCTGTGCCAGTCGGCTAATGGTGACAGTAATTTTTAATAAAAGCTGCCAAGTGTCGACACAATTTGCAATTTGCTCACGCTCTTGGACTTTGACGGAATAGTTGTCAGGAATTATTATTTGGTTCTGCATTCATATCAGCATATTCAACAATATTATGTTTTTCTAGTGTCTGCAGAGAATTTGCTTGCGCTTCTTGGAGCTCTCCAGCATGTAATGAACGACACGCTCTTGGCGGTCTGCGGTGTCTGCGAAACGCTGGCAATAGATCAGGGCACCTCCAGTTCCAATTTCAGTTTGATAAACTTGTAGCGAACATCCACATAGGACTCATCCAGCTCCTGGGCACTACGAGCTCCATATAGCTGGGTGAGAATCTCCAGCTCCCAGTCTGCTGCATGCAAGGACGAACTATCGGTTCCCGTGCTGGGCACTATATAGTCCTCGTTGAAGGGCGCCATGGAAATGACATAGCGTCCGGGGGCATTGTATTTCTGGTTCATACCCTCCACAAGGGCCAGACAATCATCCAGATCATCCTCAATCGATTGGCAAATCTTCAGGGCATCATCGATCTGCGGCGACTCTGTCTCAAGCATTGGTGTTGGATTCCATGTGGGTTTCATTGTAGACTCGATACCGATTTAAATTCAAAATATGACAGGTGTTTCAGGGATAAGGGGAACCTAAAAAGACTCCTAAACGCTTTTAAGGCGATATATGACAGCAAGTAAAACAAAATTGTTACAATTTAATTTCCAGAAATATTTAATACAGAATTTATTAATTATATAAATGAATGTCTCTAACCCCTCACCTTTTTATTAGTTTTTACGACCCCTGCCTTTTTCTTGTCTCGAACATCCTGAACTATATCATTCACTTTCTTTATGAGATCATTCATTTTGGTCACTTCCTTGCACTTTTTAAGACATATAGTCACTTGATTTTCCAGTTGTTTTAGCTTTTTCAGCTCGTCATGGTACTGCTTTTCCTGTCCTTTTAAATTTACCTTGGCTTTATCCAGGCTTTGGTTGAGATCCTTGGCCTTATCCATTGACTCCACAGCATTATGTTGCCCTTCTAGTTGAGATAATCGCTTATCTACATCAAGCCAGAACTGGTCGAATTCCTTGGTTATTTTCTCAAAGTCATCAATTAAATTATCCTTTTTTCTATGATTTAATAATTCATTAACATCGCCATCCTGAACCTCTAATTCATTCTTGACCTTTTGTAGTATAGCTTTAAGACTTGTTAGCTTTAGCTGTTTTTCATTATTTTTTATATTATCCAATTTAGTTTGAACTTCGCTTAGCTGCTTTTAAGATTTTCAAATTCCAATTTATTTTGCTGTAAAAGATCTGGATAGATTTTCTGCATCTCTTCAATTTGATTTTGTAAATGCTCGGCAAAGATGTTGAGTTTGGCAATATTTTCACAACAAATTTGGGACTTGTTGACAGCTTGTTGCAAGTCTTGTACTTCGTGTTCTATATTCTTAATGCGATTCTCTGGCTTTTCATTAGCCAAGGCAGATATAATTTGTATTATAGAGCTATTTCCAGATTTTAAGATCTCTGATTTGTCAGTGAGTTCCCTGATCTTAGCCATTCTTATTTCATTTTCAAAGCAAGAGTGTTTGTTTATATTATTCCCGTCTTTGGAATCCAGCTTAGACTTGCTATTAATAAGTAAAGTAAAGCGTTCTTCCAGTTCCTTAAGTCTGTCTACCAATTTATCCAAACAAGGCTCACAGCAAATATGATTATTATTTGGTGTGTTGTATAATTTTCAAGTACCTTCTCGCCATTTTCTATATCTTTTTCAATTTCCTTCCCTTGGATTTCTAGAGTGTTCTTAGTAGCCTTTGTATTAATCTTCAGAGCATTTAGCATACTTTCTATATCTTTTAGCTGACTCTCAAATTGGTTGGTTTTATTCATAGTTTCATTTCTCATAGTCTCTATTCGCTTTTCAAAGACTTCAGTGTTTGCGTTTAATTCTAAACAACAGTTGGTTTGGTGAACATATTTCATATTATTATTTTCCAACTTATCCAAGCGTTCTTTAGTATCGTTTATTTTATCCCTTATACTCTGGTGTTTTTCTTCTAGCACTTTTCTATCTTTGGAAAACTCCTCGCTTGCTTCTGATTTGAATTTCCGTTTGACACTTCCCAACTGTTCATCGAAATCCTTTTTCATACTCTTCAGAGATTCTTCCATCTTTGCACAGCAATTTTCAAAACCCTTGGTAACTAGCTTTTTTATCCTGGGAATAATTTTGTTCAAATCATTTCTTATGTCACCGCTGGGACTTAATGATTTGCTTCCATGAATTCCACTCTCTTCCATGTTAATTTCGTTGACATTATACATAATTGAATGCATGAGATCTTTATCGTAGAAACAGCAATTCGTTGAAGTTGTTGTTCCATTCAGATATCCCAGAGCCTCCTCAAGGTGGGCAAAATGTCTTTGTAAACTATTAGCAGTAGCATCTTGCAGATCAAACCATTTGCTAATATTGTTATTGTCCTCGCAATACTCCATTAATGACTCTTTAATTTTATTGAGAATACCCGTGGAGTACCCATTAAGAGGATGAAACTCGACCGAAGTAATTGCAGATAAGAGCACTAGTTGCAGCAGTGTCGTTGTGACCTGATATTACAATTGTTGAATGAAACGATATCTGAGACTCTCCCCAACACCTGAGCTCACCTTCATTTTCATCACGTTTCTTGCGCTCCACGAACCTGGGTCGCCGAAGTGTTAAGTTCAACTAACAGGGTCGAAAAGAGAGCAATATTGGCAATATTTCTAGCCAAGTAATTGATTTGCATGCTGCGCCTATTAGGCATTCAGGGAAGTTCAAGAAGTTCTAATGAATAAGTTTGTAATAAACTAGAATCTTTGGTAGCCAGACTTTTTAATAAATAGAAACCAAACATGGAGTTTTGAAATAACAGTATAAAGTATCTTTTGAATTAAGCTGTTTCCAGATGTAAACAAATATAAATACAAGTTAATAATTTACCTAGTCCAATATATATTTATTGCAAGTATACATTTTTAAAAGAAAGAAGTTCCGTGTACATTCAATTTAATCTGAATCTAAAACTCTCTTCTAGCCTTGGGCCCGAATATTGTCGGGTCTTTTAACTGATCAACCAAATCAATGCCACCAATTAATGCATCAGAACTTTTTTCTGTCGGTATTGTTGTTAATTTGGCTTTAAAAAACCTCTCCAAATCCTCTATATTATCGAGGAGATCATTTATTTTGTCTAGATCGTTGCAGGAGTCTCGGCAGGGAGTAATTCGGTTCTCCAGATTCGATAACTTTTCCATATTAGCCTTATGGGTCTGTTCGGGGTTTTCCAGACGACTGATTTCACCTTCGGTTATATTTATATTCTTTTGAAGAGAATCCAGAAGTTTCTCCAGTCGTTCTAAGCTTTTACTGGCAGGATTTCCTTCTAAGAGCTGTAATCGCTTGTCCGCCTTTAACCAGTTTTCATTAAATTTCTTTAACTCTTCCTTTAATTTATCATTTAAATTATGATTGTCGGAAATTATAGGTTTATCCTTTTGATTTGGCAATTCTTTTAGTTTGTTTTGCAGATTGTTAAAGTCATTCTTGGCTTTATCAAGCTCTGATTGTAGGTTTAATAATTGATTTTGGAAATCTTCACTTATTTCATTTTCGCTTTGGCTGTTATTTGTAATAGATCCCAGTTTATCCATAGCATTCTTAAACAAACTTTTAATATCATTCAAGTCCAGGGCACTGTTTTTAATGTGCTTATCGTAGGTCTGATTCATCTGATCTATTGATTTAATTAACTTGTCGCCAAGATCACGAAGATGGTCAGTTTTCTCACAACAAATATAAGAGTTTTTAAGGTTTTCTCGCAGCTTCTCTGATTCCCTTAGCAATTCATCTTGATTTCCAGATCTATCCCTTTCGAAGCCTCCCTTTACGGAGACTCCATTTCCAGTGCCTTCATTTTCTTCTTTATTTTTATCCTTTAAAAATTTTTCCAGCTCAGATTCAATCTTGGCCAGCTTTTCGCCATTCTCCTGGCAGAGGGTAATATTCAAGTTGATTGCTGAGCTATTTTCTTGTTCCTTAACGCGATTCTCAAGGTTCTTAATACTATCCTCTAAATCTTTTTCAGAACAATCTGAACCTTTAATTCCCTTTTTGAACTTTTCCATAACTTCCATAATATTGTTCCCACGCTTTTCAAGAGTTTCCCTCACCTCCGTTGCCTTTTTATCTTGGCTTTCTACATTATCTTGAATTTTCTTCAGTTTTTCACCAAATTCTTGGTTAAAATCATTAGCTTCTGTATTGACATTATTTAATTCATTCTGTAAGCTGCTAATTTTCTATTGAATTTTGAACAACATTTAGGTATGGAATTAGATACAGATACCTGTTGAATCTTATCAAATTGCAGTTGTAAGTCTTCTAATTTCTCACCAAGGCTTTCTTGTTTTTCCTGCAGATTTTCTTTAATTTTAGTTTCATATTTTTCGATGTCTTTTAATATTTCGTTTCTGAGCTCCACCCATTTATCTTGAAGATTTTCTTTGACTTCATTAAGGTATTTTTCCAGCTCCTCACAGCATTTTTGCTTCTGAAAGCCCTTGGGTACTAACTTTTTAAACCAGGGCAAAATTTGATCTGTATCCATTGTCATATTGCCGCTAATTTTTGGAAATTCTTCTGATTGATTTTGGTTCATTTGGTTAATTTTCTTAATATTTTCAAATATTGATGGCATGGCATCTTTTTCGTAAAAATCGCACCTTTCGTTTATCAGTGTATCCAGATATAAATTATTTTCTGCCACAATATTGCTAAGCCTTAATTGCTTACTGAACCACATATTGATAGTGTTGTAATTATCACATTCTGGTTGGAAGTCCTTAATTGGGGAATCAATTTGAGTGGGAATATTCCTAGACATATCCCTGGTGTATGAAGACTCCACTGCGGTAATTGCAATTAGGAGAAGGAGTGTCAGGAGTGAAGTCATCTCAGTAGTGACCTGTTCATGATAGTCTTGTTGAATGGAACTCTCCCTATGACTCTCTAACACCTGAACTCACCTTTGGTTTCATTTTCATCACGTTTGCTGCGGTCTAAGAACATCAGTTGTCGCTTTGCCAAGTTGAACTAACTGGGCCAAGACGACAGTAATATTGGTTATCTTTGAAGTCAAGAGGTGAGACACTAATCGATTTGCATGCTGCACCCATTAAATATAATGGGTAGCTTGAGAACTAATGAGAAAATTAAGGAAAAAGAAACTTGATGTAGCTCATATACTACTTTCGAAACTAAAGCCAAATGGTTTTATAAAAAACCTTTTTCTTCCTTATGTTTCCTACAGAAAATATATTCTATAAACCATTTTTTAAGCCTAAACCCGAATATTTATATAATATCCTGCCTACTAACAATCATTTCTAGAGGCCCAGCAAAGCTCATATTATTTACGATATCCGCTGCTGTCGCCCAAAAAAAAAAACTCATTCCAACTCTTAAACATCTCCCAAATGAAGCAGCATAAATTTTGTGTGGGGGAAACCCAATGCAATTCGCAATGCCCTGAGCAGCATTTACTCGTTATCATCGCACAGGTTGTGGCTACAGTGCCACTTGAAATGGGATACCCAACA